GGAGGAGTAAGTTGCCCCCACAAGCACAATTAGACCTTGCTATTTTCACCTTAAATTTTTAAAATCTGCTTTGTAATCCCAATACTCAGGAGGCTGAGACAGGAGGATTGCTGTAAGTTTGAGACCAGCCTGGGCTACATAGTGAGTTCAAGGTCAGTCTGAAATGCATAGTGAAACCCTGTCTCTAAAAAAAATTTTTTTAATCCATGCACAGAAAGTAGATGCATTTCTACTAAACCTCACTGATAGTCTGCTTCTGTTTCCAGCTCTCTTCATGCTCAAGTGTTACAAAAGGATAACCAGATGGGTACCTAGAAAGCCCCCTCACCACTAGTAACATAGGGTCAAGTGTGTGCTTGTATGTTAATAGGTGATCGATCAACAGTGTGGCTGCCCTCCAGAAATGTATAACATCTTCAAACCCCTGAAAACATGTTCCTTGCTATGATGGCTGTCACAACCTACACTGTGTATATAACCCTGTGACAGGACGACAGTATTGGGCATATGTGCCTAATCCACCCCTGCTCAGACCAATCACTTGGGTCAGCTCTCCTCCTGAAATCTATCATAAATCTATCATAAATCGAGCTTATCATAGTCAGGTTGATTGCGTACCTGGTCCTTCATCATTATTAAAGATGCAGATAAACTGTCATAACTTATAGTTCTCATTTCACTTATCCCCCATTTGTATAGAATATAGGATAATACAGTCCAATTGTTGGTGCCCAAGATTGGCTGATACATAATCATGACCAATCAATCCTTTTGATTCTCAGTTCAATTCTTATATGTGGAAGAGATTGATTCCTTTGTCCCTAATGTTCCTTTCTGTGAGGCCTGTACTTTTTGGAACAATTCTGGAGAAGGTGCTCCTCCTCTTTGGAGCCTCTGCAAGGGAAAAAGGGGGGATGTCTATGGCTCTATATAACTTTATTGATGGGGGCCGAGGGGATCCCTACTAGGAAGAACTAACAGTGTTTCTGACTGACATGAGGTATCCTGGAAATGGGTTAACATGTCAGCCATGCAGACCTTCCCTGAAGGAGGAACTTACTGGCGACAGTGCAGGATTTAGCACACCAATCCCTCAGGCTTTAATTAACCACAAGCCTGGGCCTATAAAACTACTGTTTGGAAACTTGCCTTACCCCATTATTGTGGGGGAAATATGGATGGGTCATAATATGTGCGCCACTAGGGACACTGTTACTATGGTGGCAAGATGGATTGATGGCCAAAGAACTTCAATGTATATTTACTTTTTAAAAATAATTAAGTTTATTGGTACAGTTTAGATCAATGTACATTTATAATGCTTATGTTTCCCTTTATGGAACTATACTCTGGAACGAAACTTCCCTTACATGTACAAATTGTACTTAAGTCATTGTACTCAAGCAGAAGTTACTGGTAAAAGTTTAATGGTCTTGGGATGTATACCAGGAGTGTGGGTACCGGTTAACCTAACTGAGCCTTGGTCGTGCACTCCTTTTGGTAAAAAGTCGATTTCTGTGTGGGATGACAGGTCCTGAGAATGAGGTGCGGTGGATGAAAAGACAAACAAGAGAGACAAAGTTATGAGATCAGGGGGCTACAGCCTTTAGGACTGAAGCTTTGATTACAATTTTCTCTAGCCTTTTATTGGGATTCTCATAAAAAGCAGGGACAGGGGAAATGGGAGGAATCATTAACAGAATTAGTGAGGGCAATACAGCTTAATTATCCCAGGAATTGAACTTTGACTTAGCCAGCCATCATGTCATCTTTCCTTCAGACATATCTCAGCAAAGCATCTAGTGCTTTCCCAGCAGCTTTCCACAGGGACTTAGGTCTTGCTTTCATTTCCTTTTACACTAATGCTTTTGTTAGACTTCCTCCAGAAACACACAAGCATTTGGCTTGGTCAGGCTGAAAGTCCCATATGGGTAAAGGTAAACTATAGACTGTCCTTCTCCACACACTCTGATGCTACATCTTTTACAGTCCCTAGCTGATGATCTGCTACACAGAACTAAAAGAATGATTGGCCTGATTATTGGTGGAATAGTCTCTCTAGTATTGCTATTCTCCGTGTGTCTGTCTCCTCTGTTGCCCTTGCTCACGCCATCCAGACAGCTCACTTTGTAGATAATTGGACAAAAACAGCAGATGAGGTTTGGAAGATACAGCACACGATACATACCAAACTTCCATCACAATCAGCATGCTAAAGACCATGGTTTTTTGGGTGGGAGATCAAATAGGAAGTCTTCAGTTGCAGCAAGGCCTCAAATGTCACTATAATGTTACCCGATTTTGCATAACGCCCCTGTGCTATCGTCAGTCTGCTCACCCATGGGAACATGTTAGAAAACACGGTCAAGGGGCCATGCACCAAAATAGAACTCTGGACCTAGATGTCCTGGGAGGGACAAAAAGAATTATTACCTATATCTCATCAAATTCAAAATTTTGATGAACAAATACAGGATTGGGATAAATTTTCTGATGCCCTCAGTCAGTTGCGTCATTTTAAATATCTCAAGGCACATCTCTGGTTTTATGTTGCTGTACTCGTAGTGATTTGTTTATGTCTTCTGGTTTTATTCTTAGTCCCTCACAAAGGAATTTAAACCCGTTGACCTCTAGAGGCTCTACAGTCACAGCTCACTCTGATTCAACTGAGAAATCAAATACACTGAAGGGGAACAAATTGTAAATTGACGACAGAATATGTCCAAGGCTCTCCTGAGGCACTGACCTCTCAGCCCCGCTTTTATGCATTACTAAATTTGTTTCTGTTTTTTTGTTTTTTTTTTTTTCATCTCTTGCTGTACCCCTCATAGAGGCAGTTGGGGATCTTGGCCAGGTCTCCGCAGACCAGCCCCTCCTGGATGCCCTGGGGTCAGGCTGGTCTGAGATCTCAGTCCAGGAGTTGAGTATGAGAACCTGACCTTCTTAACCCAGGAGATGGGTCAATCTGGTGGCTCATGGCTGGACCACAAGAACTGGCATCAGGCATGTGGGACATTGTTGGGTTTTTTTTTGTTGTTGTTTGTTTGTTTGTTTGTTTTTTGAGATAGTTTCTCACTATGTAGCCCAGGCTGGCCTCAAAATCACGGTGATCCTCCTACCTCAGTCTCAGTCTCCTGAGTGCAGGCATGTACCACCTTGCCCAGGCAACACTGTGGAAGTTCTGTATCTCAGTCAAAGAAGACTGCATGTGTCAAGGACACAGGACAGGTTTACAGCTGATGGAAACTATGAATGTGAAGTCACGCACACAGGCAAACCTGAGTGTCAAAGGTGAAAGAACCCAGAGAGGAGAGTCACACACATCAGAATGATGTTCCCAGTGAACAACAGGAAGAGAAATGTTCCAGCACTGCCAGAACTGTCAGGATATGCTGCTGAATCCATATGAGTACACCAGGAAGTCATCACTACACATACAAATTCCTAGGAATGAAGACATGGGCTCCACAAGTCCCTGGGGAGGGCAGAAGGAGATGGCCTTGCAGGAGGTGGGGAGAAAGTGAGTGACCAGGAGTGCTTCTGGAATGTGCGATCCCAGGGTAGCACAAATGCTGGAAGAGACAGTCGGCCACATGCAGTGTGTGTTTGTGTGCACACCAACCCCTGGAAGGTGAGGAAAGGGATTGGAAGCAGAGTGTGGGTTTCCTTTCTGCAGAAGACTTCAAGGTTTGTCCTGGCCTCATTCCAGATCCACAAAGTGGTTTTGGTTTCACAATGTGTAAGCACTTTATGAGGGTGCCCATGTGAACAAACTCCCAAGGGCATCTCAGGGGGCTTGAGTGAAAGGCTGGTACCCCGCAGCACACTGGGATGCACCTTCCCTGCCTGGTGCGCCTGGAGAGGGACCAGGAGGGGAACCAGGACCTGTCCTGGAGGCCCCTGCCTTGGGCCCTAGCCTTGGGGGAGGGGAGGGAGCAGGCCTCGCTCCTGGGCAGTGGGATGGGCATGGGGACAGTGGGCATGGCACAGAGCACATGGAGGTGGCTGGTCACTGGTGGGGCCTGTCCCAACCCTGCTGACACTCTGAATGCCTGGGGCTCCCTGGGGTGGGCCCCAGCCTCTGGCCTTTATGCCCTACTGACCCTGGTGTGGTTTTCTCTAAGGCCAGGGGACTTGAGTTTTTCTGCCCACTAGGAGAAAGCTGATACTTTGGAACCACGCTGAGGACTTTGCCCTCTGCTGCCCAGCCCTGGACCCCAGGGGGCTGTTGGCCAGCAGACTCTTTTTTTGTGTGTTTGTTTTTGAGACAGAGTCTCAAAAACAGGCTGGTTTTAAACTCACTTTGTAGCCCGGGCTGGCTTCAAACTCACAACCATCCTCCTGCCTCAGCCTCCCAAGTGCTGGGATTACAGGTGTGCACCACCATGCCCAGCTCAGGCAGACTCTTTGGAAGTGCTGGTCACGTCACTGCCTAGTCCCTTCCAGGTCACTCAGCCTGGAGACAGACCCTTTGCTCTGGTCCCCCAGCCCATCTCCTGGCACAGCACTTGGGGTCCCTGCCCAGGCCTGTATCTGCTGTCCAGGGGCTTCTGTGATGTGGCCATCTGGCTCTGGGTTCCCCCAGGGGCAGGGACTGGGGCTGGAGCCAGGACCAAGCTGGAGTTGGGAGCTGGGCAGTGTGGCCAGCGGGGCCTGTCAGGAGTGATAGTGAGCTCAGTGCCCGCAGCCCCTCTGGGAGCACAGGGAGCTGGTGGAAGAACAGGGTTGTCCCTGGGCCCTGGACCAGGGACCAGCCCTGCTCTGCTCTCCTGGACGTTCTGTGAGCAGCTGCTGACAGCTTCTAACAGAAAATACCTTAGTGCACGCGGGCAGCCTCAAGAAACTCCTGGCGCCTTCTGTGCACACAGGCAGATTCCTGAAACTGCTGCTCTTCCCAGAAGCACTTCCTCCCCGGGCCAGGACAGCTCTGCAGCCTTGCCCTCCTCCTCTCTCGGCCCCTCCCCCTGCAGTCCCTCCCTTAGTTTTCCTCTGGCTGACAGGCTCAGAAGCTGAAGGCCTTGGAGGAGTTGGAGGTTCTGCAGGAGGAGGGAGCAGGTGAGTGGCTGGGAGGGCAGGAGGCGAGGACTCAGGGGACCAGGTGCTCCAGGGGTTGGGGACTTTGAGAGGGTGACACGTGGGGTCCCTGGCTGTGGCACCTTTGGGGCCCTCAGCCCCCACCACCTGTTGCCTCAGAGATGAGCAGGGAGCAAGGCAGGTCCAGAGAGGCTAGCCAGGCACAGCATGGGCAGGGGTGTGGGGTAGGTGGTCCAGGTGTGGTGGCCAAGGGACCTGCATCTCTTTGGGGGCCTCATCTGGGCTCTGGGAGGGGCAGAGGTGGTACTGTGGTGTCCCCAGGGTGGGATGGAGCTGCCCCTGATCTCTTGATGGGAGGGGGCGCGGTGCTGGGTTCCTGGACTCTTCACACTGTTCGAACAGATCTGTGCGCACCCACATGCATGCACACTCAAAGACCTGGTGTCACTCACAGACCTGGTATCACTCACAGACATGTTCTCATGAGCAGCCTTCTCATGGGGATTCCCTCTCTTATACACACACCACACACAGACACACATGCTTCTGTGCACTCAGCACATGCATGCAGGGGGCAGATAGGTGCTCTGTGGGACTCCCCCAACCCAGACTCCAGCTCCTTCCCTCTTTCTCTTTTGTTTATGGGTTGGCTGCCAGGCACTCTCCCAACCAGTGCACACCCAGTGCTTAATCAGCTGCACCAGGAACTGGCTTCCTGTCCCAGGCAGAGGACCCCGGAGGCCAGTGCTCCAGCTGTGGGCCCTTGTGGGACAGGTACTGAGGCTGTTGCTGCTGCTGAGCCCAGAGCATGAGGGGAGCAGGACAGCTAGGCAGATGGCACAGTTTGAGCTAGGGGTGAGGCAACAAGACCTTTACTGTGTCCCCATGGGGGAACTTAACTGCCCTCCTGTGGTCCCCTCAAGGGACCCCTTGAGCCACCTGCGCAGGAGCCCCAGCAGGCTGGACCTCATAAGCTTTGGCTTTATAGACTGTAGCTATCTGATGGAGTTATCAGGACCTGTCCTGCACAGTGTGGCCCTCAGCCAGCCTGGGCAGCACCGTTGAGCCTCCCCTTGTAGATTAGGAGGGCATATGGCTTTCCCAAACCCTTGTAGCTGGCAGGACAGCAGTGCTGGCCCCTCCTCAGGTGCTGGTGGGAGCGAGGAACCGCCAAGCATACCTTTTCCCAGTGGGTCCATCCCCAAATGACCAGTATCCACACACCTGGCTCACCTGAAGCTCCCTGTATGCCCAGGGGCCAGAGGAGGAGGGCACAGTGTCCCTAGAGGTGTTGGGCTGGTGTGTTCAGGATGGCTGAGGTTTGTCACTGTGGGAACTTAGACCTTGTGTGTCAGGGACTCTGCAGACTCCACTGTTCAGCTCCCACTTTAACGTGAGCAAATGCCAGCTTCTGGGGGCAGTGCTTGGAGAATCTGTGTGCTGTCTTTCTCCAGCCCTGCAAGTGCCAGGGCTCCCCATGCTGGGTCTCCCTGCCCCACACTGAGCTGTGTGGCCACTCATTGCTTTTCCAAGCCTCCTTTTCTCTGCTTTTTAGCTGGTGCACCTTACTCCCGTGGGCTTTTACCTGCAGTCAACAAAACAACAGTGAGACAGAATGGCCAGAGGGTCAAACAAGAATACAGGATGTCCTTGCTTTTGAATTTCAGACAATAAATCTGTTTTAAATATAAGTGTGTCCCAAACATTGCAATGTACTACAAGTGGTTGGTTGGTTGCTTTATTTTTTTTTAGTACTGGGGACTGAACGAACCTAGGGCCTTCAAATGGAGCTATGGCAACTGAGACAGTCTTGCGAAGTGGCTAAGTTGCTCAGGCTGAGCTTGAACTTACAATCTGCCTGCCTCAGCCTTCCATTGTGCTGGATGACAGGTGTGTGTCACCATGCCCAGCTTGGTGGTTCATCTGAAATTTCAGTGAGTCTGGGTGTGCTGGACCAGTCTGTGTGGCCACCTGAGAGGGCCCAGTGTAATCAGGGCAAGTTTTCTCCTGGGAAACAGCAAATTTCATGTACCAGTCTAGCTGTTGCACAGAGGACCTGGGCCACTGGGTGTGAAGCTTTGAGGTGGAAGGTGATGTGAGGACTGGGGGTGTGGAGATGGGCAATACCTGCCACTCCCCCACCCTGGTCACCACCACACCCTGCCTGAGCCCCTCAAAGTCCTGTCAGGCCAAGGACAATGGTGTTCCAGCTCTGTCCACATGACCCTGGTGCTTCCTGTAGGACCCCTTGGCAAATGGCTCAGCTCATTTGTGGAGGAGTTGGCTCTCTCTACAGGGATGACTGTTGCATATTTTCCAGGCCTTGCTCTGCCTGTGCAGGTGCTGGTTGCCATATGTGGGGGGCTGTGGAGAGGGGATACGACCTTCTCCAGCCACCATCCAGCCCAGGGCTTGTGCTGCCCCCTCAAGGTTGTGGGCTTAAACACTGCAGGGGACTTTGAGGGGCCAGTGAAGAAGGTTCTTTGGGTGGTCAGTGAGGTGGCCCTGCTGTGACAGGCAGGATGTGGCACCACACCAGCTGGAGGACCCGAGAGGGTCTCAACCCTGGAGTCTAGGCAGCCAGTAGCTGGGACATGGAGGACATAGAGCCCAGAGAGAGGAGACAGTACCAGTTTCTCCCTCCTCCTGCCTCCTCCTGGAGGGCCAACCTTGCTGGGAGCAGGAGGCAAGGGACTTGATGCACAGGGCCACCATTCTGGCTCACAGGAACAAGAGTCCACACATGGCCGACCCTCCAACCAGTCAGATCCTGGGCAGCCCAGATAGGAGGACTCTGGTGTGTGTGACTACTGGAGTGCTGGCCAAGGGGCAATTCTCTATGCCAAGCAAGGTCTAAAGTCCAGAGGCAGCAAGGGCTGGGCCTGTCCCTAGACATAAGCTGAGGACAGGCTTTTGGGGATGAATGGGTAGACTGCATATCCTGTGATGGCCCCATGGCCTTTGGCTAAGTAGCCACAGAATATCTACCTGTAACTCATGGTCCAAGGGGGGAAAGTCCCAGGAAAGCGAAACAAAACAGACACAGGTGCAGCATTTCTGCTAGTGAAGGTGAGGCTCCCGCAGCAGCCAGCAGAGAGCAGGAGGAGGACAGTCCAGGCTCTGCATGCCCTGATGGCCTGGCTTGATCCCACCAGGGGGAGTGGAAAGGAGGGGCATGGCAGGGTCCCAATGACAAGAGAAGGGGGGACTTTCAGTTCCAGCACTGAGCAGTGGAGGGGGAGCTGTGCCCCCAGTGCAGCTCCACTCAGTACCTCAAGGCCAGGTTGCCTGCCTGGCATCGGCTGGGTCCCCAGTGAGAAGCCCTAAGCTGACAACCCATCAAGTCAGTCATGGAGACCACCGGAGAGAAGGCTTCCCCAAAGACTGTGGTCACATGGTGATTCTCAGTTGTCACCTCACACCAGCCCAAGGTGGAGGCCGGTTGGGAGGCAAAGGAAGGTGTGAATGCAAGGTCCCCCTATCTGGGTTTGGGGCTATCCAGAGCTTCCATGAAAGAGGGCCACAGACAGGGTTGAGAAAGATGGCCTTGGTGTTCAGGCCTGGGGTGCAAGGGATGCCTCTGGCTTTGGCAACATAAAAGCCTGGAGCTCCAGGCAGTGCCTCAGCTGGCACAGACTCTGGGCTCCTAGAGAGTATGCTGTGGATGCCAGGGCCAGCTTTCAACAGGGGACTCAGGGTGCCCTCAGGGGGCCCTGACACTTCTGCTGTGATTATTTTGTGCCCACTGTGCCTTGGAGAAACACAACACTGGTGACAGTAACTACTGAGATTTCCCTAATCTGCAGCCGAAGCAGCAGGAGCTAAGATTCAGAGATGGGGCTGACATGAGTTAGGGCCAAGTGTGTATGGTGTGGGGACCACATGGGGCTGTGGGAAGCCACAGGAGCAGCGGTTCCCTGTGTTCTGCAGGCTGGGGAGCATCTCAGGTAAACAAACCTTTGCTGTCTCTTCACATCAGGTCTAGGTGAGGATGAGACTTTGCCCAGCCCAGCTTAAATCTGGCCAGGCCTCACCTTGGGTACTGACTGATCCTTCAAGGGGGACCTTGTTGCTTCGTGCAAAGTTGTGCTCTTTGTCAGGGACTGGTCAGGATTCAGGGCTCTGTGTGTCCATATCCACACAGCTCGGGCTACTGCATGTGGTGTGTTTCTTGAAGTGACCTTCTCAGGGCTCTCAGAAGTTCACCTCTGCTCCCTGGCCCCAGCCCCAGTGCCCTGGGGTGTACCCGTTTGCGACTGCACCTGCGTGCTTACATGTGCTTGTGAGTGTGCATGTGTAAGGACATAGCTGGTGGCAGTGGAAGGCATTCAGGAAACAGGATCATGAGGGTTCACAGGTGAGTGAGGAAACAATTCTGCGGGAGGCTGGTCCCCTGGCTGGTCTCTGTCTCTGCTTTCTTCTGCCACAGGAGGACAAGTCCCCAGCGTTCCCTGGAGTCCTGTCTGTCCCCAATCCCGGTCAGACAGCTGGAGGAGACACTTAGGAGAGGACTCTGGATGCACCAGAGGAGAGGCTTTGAGCAAGTCACGAGGGTGCGATAGGAAGGCCACTCCTTTCTGGTACAGGAGCCCTGGAGCGAGGCTTCAGAGGGATGAGCACGGGCCTCGAGCTGCCTCCTCCCATCAGGACAGGGCCATGTGGGCTTGGTGGCCCTAATGGTTAAAGTACAGGCAAGATTACAAAGGGAGATGGCCACCCACCCAAAACAGCCAGCACCTGTCATACAGATAAACTAGGAAAATAAAGCTTCCCTGTGTCTTAGGAAAGCAGATATATCTATATCTCTCTATCTATCTATCTATCTAGATATTCAGATATATCTATATATATATTATCTATCTATGATATATGATATGATATTATATATATCTAAAAAGAGCAAGTGCATCTGTCAGCTGTCTGTCACTGGAACCAAACCCCCGCAAACACAACCTGCAAAGGAAGGGTCGACTTTTGCTTATGGTTTCAGAGGATTCAGTCCATGGTCAGCTGACTCTAAAGCAGCAACATGATGGTGGTGAAAAAAAAAAACTACTCAATTACTAAAAACAGAGCAGGGCAACTGCACCAGAAGAGGAAGAGGTGAGGGACCCCTACTGTTTCCAGGGTCACACTTCCAGGGATCCATCCTGACAACCCAGAGTGTGCTGCACAAATCCCCTAGGTGGCGCCCAAGCCTTAACCATCATGGTATGTGAGTGAGGCCAGGACCCGGGAAGGCAGCAGGGGGACTGCAGAGCTCTAGCAGTGCAGATCTGGGGGAGACCTGAGCTTGCTGAATGTCTTCTGGGTGCTGAGGATGTGAGGACATTTGTGAGTGACTGAAGGAGGTGAGCAAGGGGGCCATCCATGTTCAGCGTGACGTTAATGAGCTATGTGACCTGGGTGTGTCACGGGACAAGAAGAGGTGGAAGAAGGAAAGCTGCAGCTCCATGTCCAGAGTGGAGGCCATGGCTTGAGGCCTTAGAGAAGCATCAAGGCTGGGGGGTGCAGGTGTCCTGGGCTGGACCCTCCAGGGAGGCCATCCAGGCAGTTTTGCTAATTTGGCATAGAGCTCATAGGAAGAGCACACTGAGGACAGCTGGGCGGCAGGACCCAAAGGGCAGAGGCTCTGCCACCTCCCCGTGGATTCTCACTGCCAGCACCTCACACTGCCTGGAGCACAGGGACAGGATCAAAGGTCGGGCATTGAGGGCCGAGGGTCCAGCAGAGGCATGGGCATCACAGGCACAGCTGGTCGGGATGACTCAGGGACCTGGGGTGTCAGGCCCTGCCAGGCTGTGCTGCTCCCATCAGCCTCTGCAGCAGCCCATGGCCTCTGATCCCTGTGCTTTCTTCCTCCAGTGTCTACAGGACAAGGACAAGGGACCCCGGAGGCCTCTGCCAACCAGCAGCCATGCACACCTGCCCCTTGACGCCTCACAGCCTGGTCCTCAGGATGCTTGGGGCCCTCCTGCTCCTGACCACCGCCCTGAGTACTCAGAATGGAAGTAGGTCTCGGGGTCCCCCCTCTCTGCAGAGGGAGGGCCTAGGGGACCAGGAAGGGGGGATGGGAGACCCAGGCCTCAGGACGTGGCCAGGACCCTGCACACCCAGGTGCCATCAGAGAGAAGCAGGGCCGGTGTCCCGGGTAGGAAGGGCAGGCCACATGCTCCAAGGATGGCAGATGACAGGCGTCCCCAGCAGTGGCTGGCGGTCACTGTCAGAGCCCTGTGAGGGGGATACGCAAGACCAGGTCCGGTTCTAAGGGGAGGGGAACCCGGGAGTGGGGGCCCGGGCCTGGGCCAGGGAAGGTGCGGCTCCACAGGACTGAGGGCCACTGCCATCCCAGTCGCAGACCCAGCCCTGCCCAGCAGCGTCTGCACTTACTGGGCCTTCAAGGACCAGAGACTCAGGTGGCCAGAAGCCGGTCTGCAGTGGACAGGGTCCCAGAGATTTCCCCAACACAGCTCTCCAGCTCTGGGGCTCGCTTAAGTCACTCAGGGACATCCCAGAGCAGCTTTAATGACACCAGTGTCATGGTCACTGGTGGCCAACCCAGGACAGCAGGGATTCAGGGCCAGGTCCCCCAGGACGCATACACCCACCTCATACCCCACACCCTCCTGATGGGACACACGGGGGAGGGGGACAGCGGGAATGTTCTGCAGACCAGCTGGCTTGGCCCAAGGGGACAGGTGCAGGGGCTCCCAGCCTGGTCACACCAGCCCTCTCCACGCACCGATTCTGCTCCTGCTACACGGGAGCTGTGTGCTGCTGCTGCAGTCTGATCAGGCAAATAAAGCTCACTGTGTCCTTGGAGGCCCCCAGGAGAGCAGCCAGCCCCTGTCCAGGGCCTGCCCTTGAGGTGACCATCCCCCCACAGGGTGGGACAGGCCTGCCTGCACGGAGGGTGTGGTGTCCGTGTCCAGGGGTGGGCGGGCCGTGCTGGCCTGCAACAGCTCCAACGCCTTCACCCACATCACCGTCCAGCTGAGCGCCCACGGCAAGACCAGGACCATCTTCAGCGAGGAGACCCCGGGAAGCTTCCTCCAGGGAGGGTGGTGGCTCCAGGTGCGAGGGGGCCAGGCCCGGCTGGTGATCCAGTCCACCCAGGATGCCCACCAGGGGCTGTACCTGTGGCATCTTCAGGGGCTGCAGAGACACAACAAGGAAACCAGGCTGAACATCTTGGGTGAGGACTGGGGAGCATGGGAGGCGGAAGAGAGGGGTGAAGGGTTACAGGGAGTGTGGGGGCGGGGTCCCTCCTGCCTGGGCCTGGCTTCCCTGCACCATGGAGTGGGCCAGGGCCCTCCCAGTCTAAAGCCCCGCCCACGCCACACTCTCCTTCCTTGCACAGCCCTTGGGGCCTTGTCCACCCTCAGGCTCTCCTGCCCCCTCCCACCCTTTAGTCCATCACCTTTGCCTGAGCCCAGGGGGCAGGGGCTGCAATCTGGGCCGTGGGGGACCCAAGGAACCCCAGCTGGACTCCTGTCTGGAGCTGGGTGTGTGTCAGGGCTAGGCCCCCACCTGACAGTGGCATCTCTCCTGCAGAGGCCCAAGAGCAGGCGACAGAGCCGGGTCCAGTGCTGTCCACATCTGCCTCCAGTGTTTCACTGCTGTCGCCAGGTACGGGTCCCACTGCGGATTCTTCCACCTTTGGTGGTTCTGCTGCTGCTGCCCAGAGCCTCTGCCACCTGGCTCTCTCCACCCTTGCTTGCCCAGTCTCCCCCAGTTGTGTGTCTACTGAGCAGAGGCTGCGGGGGCTATCAGGGTGATGGGGTGAGTGTCAATGATGCAGACAGAGGCCCATCTACCTTTCCACTCTAGAGTTGCTGCCTACATTCCAGGAGCCATGGCCTCCAATGAGGGTGGTGGTAGCTGCTCTCTCTCTCATCCTGGGCATTTGTGGTACCATTGTGCTCACTCAGTGCTGGCTACAAAGTTCCTGGAGGTCCAACCAGGTAGAAGGTCCTGTACCTGCTTGAAGGCAGGTGAGGGATAAGCACCCTGGAGGAAAGACAGACCTAGTGGGGTCTCTTTGTGCCCAGATCTGATATAACGGCCTGCCTGGGGTCCCACACTCTCAGCAGGAAGCCCCAAGGGTTCCTCTGTCCCCAAGCCCTTATCTTGTGCCAGGATCACCTAGAGGGTGGCATGGGAGTGTGGGTTTCTGGCTCCTCCCATGGCTCCTGGGAATTTTCATCAGGAACAAAACTTGTTGATTCTGAGCCCAGGGAGTCTGACTGGGGACCTTTGTGAAGTGGGTTCAACCCCTCTGGGCCTGGCAGGGTAAGGGGAGGGTCTGAGTGTATATCTGTGTGTGCATGAGTGTGTGTGCAGGCCGTGTCCCAAGCTGTGTGGGCTCTTGTGTGTGAGATGTGTGACCTGTGCCCAAGTGTCTGCCCAGTTGATTCTGAGCTCAGTCCCTGCTTCTCCCTGCAGATGAGATTCAGAGCCCTGAGCTGGAACATGGCAGACTTGAACCCTTGCAGGAGCTCCAAGAAAGAAAATGGCCAGAGACCCCAGCCCCAGTGTCCCTTCTAGGTCTCCTGCAGAGGTGCCCCGGGGCATCAGAGCTTTGTGCCTCCTGTAGCACGTTAAAGCTGACCTTCAGATCTGTTAGTACTCTTCGCTGTTTTGGGCAAGAAGTGACAGATTTCAGGAGCCGCAATAACAAGGGGACCTCAGAGATTGTACCTAATGTGCATATGGGCACCAGGTAGGAGATGATGGAGGGGCCTGCCGTGTGGTGGCCCAAACCCTGAACTGAACCTTCCTGTGACCAAGAGGTACAGGCCCATCTGCCCTGAACACAGGGCCAGAGCTTCCTGGGGCACATGGGCTCCTGGTTCTGGAGGCTGTGGGCTCCACCAGGTAGTGTCCTGGGCCTCAGCCTTGTGGTGCCAAAGTGAGTGAAGAATTCCCACTGGGACGGAGGTAACCTGACTCTCTCCTTTTCCTGGGACTGTTGAGGGGGACATGATGTGGTCATGGCTGTCACGACCCTCCCCTTCACTTCCCTTTGCTCCCCTGCGGCTTCCTGAGGAAGAACTGGGCCAGCTTGCCTCAGTGTCCTCCCACCAGCCTTTGGGTTACCTCATGGCCACTCTGACAAGAGGTGCAGCAGGCTGTTAGCTTCAGTTCCTTCCTGACTCCCACTGCCTTTCTGAAGAAGGAGCAAGAAGGAAATCCCCCATGATGTGGTAGAGCTCAGAGAAGGATCTGGGCCCACTGTCTACACCCCCAACCTCCCAAGGCCCCAATAACCTGTGATGAACACAAGGAGCTCACCTGCAGCTTTCCTGGGTCAGCCCTGCTATGTTCTGCAGAGGTACAGCAGTGTTAACCAAATAGCTCGAGTCTGCTAGTGATCCCAGACACCCTGCACCTACATGATATCTGCCCTGCTTGAATTTAAACCAAGCAGTGGAATTGACTTTGGGTCAATTCTCTCAAGCAGGTCCAGATTTCGACCAATCACAGGCCTGCAGCACACCCTTCACACTTTCTTGTTGGTCTTGAAGGGCTCACTCTGGTGCCCTGACACTGTTTTGGGACACAGGTCCTATCCTAATAAACCCTCTCTTCAGTGGTCTTATAAATCTGCCCATTACTTGTTTCTGGGGTGGTGTGGGCTCAGAAATCTACTTGGGGTTCTTGTCCAGACTAGTGGGGGCAGAGTGGTGGATTTCAAACAAAGAATTGTAAACACTAAGCAACCATTCCACCCAGAGACCAGCAACCGGCAGAGTTGACTCCCAGTTTCTGGCACAAGCAACAGCATCCACAGCCTTAATGTCAGGGCCACGAGCACATCTGCACTTTGCTGATTCATGATTTCTACCTGAATTGAGAAAAGGAACTCTCAGTGGATTGTAATGCCACCCCTGTTCTCAAGAGCCAGTTTTTGAGCATCCGCAAGATGCAGAACAAGCTTCTTGTGGGTTTTTGGTTTTGCAATAAAACAAATGTGATGGCTTGTTAATTGGTTTATTTGGTTAAAGATTACTATCATGGAGGTATTTCAAAGTACAGAATGTTACACTAAAGTGGAAAAGCCCTTTTATTCTATTTTTATTTTTCCAACCTGCCCCATATAATATGGCCTCCTCACTTGTTCGTGGATGCCGGCAATTCACTTCCTGGTTCTTCATCCACGCTGCCATCTTGGACACCATGTTTCTGTTTCCTGTTCAACCCCCCTGTTCCCCAAAGTCGTGGGACCTGCCCTTCCCTATCAAAAACCTACAATTCTGATTCTGTACTTCTTGCCTGTAAAAGCCTAAAAAGACCCCAGACCACCAGAGGGCGGGGCCTGGTTTTCTTTGTTGTTGGGAGCCTGGCCAGGACCACTGTAGTAAAATAAAGCTGTTCACTGCCTCGAAATCCTGGGTGTTGTTTCTGTGTTTCCGCTTGCTGTAGCAACACACCTAGAAAAAATTGTTTCTCACTCCTGTGCAAAAGAAAACACTCAAGATGCAGTTGCAATAAAAAGGCAAGTGGTTGATATATAAATGAATTTTCTGAGACTACAGTGCCTCTATTTCTGTAACTATTTCACCTGGACTATGTAAGCAGTCCTAGGAATGTATCCCTAAATGTGGTTATTGAAAACCAAATAGCTGCGTCAGGATTAAGTACATGTTATTTAACGACGAAGAAAAATATTCAAGTTTGAATTAAGTGTGTAGGCTTACTGTCGTTGTAAGTGCCTTTTTCCACATTAGTCAGTGACTTAATCTAAATTCTTAGTGTTTGTAAAGGGTTAATTGTCCTCCATCAAGCTGGATTAAATAATTCCATCCACTCAGAGAAGATGTGGAAGAGGTAGATACTGGGTACTACTAGTTCATATGTCTTTGAGTCAATAAAGACCAATGTCCATTGTTGAGTTGGTTATTTTGACAAATGCTAAAAATAATCTTTGAGATAAATCAGTAATTCTATTCATTAGAAGATCACAGGATATATCCACTTTTCAAGTTAGATGGGTTTTACTGTGGGGAAGATAGATTAAAATTATACCATATGTTAAGTTGCATTTAAGTCTATAAAAGAATGGGTAGAGAAATCTACACAATATATAATTTGCCCAAATTAGTTTTCCTTTGGGGGAAAGAATTTCCAAAACAATTTTTCTCATCAGTTGAAAAGTCCTTCAGAAAGAGAACTATTGGGAAACCATGGTTTGTGGTGGTGGAAAAGAAAAGCTCCCTCAGTTTTTGGAGGGAATAACTTTAAAAATACTTAAATGGTTAAATATACTTGGTACAGTTGAAAATTAAACTTTTCAATTTTAACATTGCTATTACATCTGAAATAAACTTATGTGATGTTCTGGTAAAAAAAGAAAAAAAAGGCAAGTGGGATAAATAGATGTGATCCCAAAAGGAACCTGGCAGGGTGGGGTGGGGCCACAGAGGGGTCCTGAGAAGCAGCTGTCCCTCCTTCCACCCTGGCCCCAGGCTCCCTGCAGCAGGCCCGCTCTGCCCCCTGGTGGTGGGTGTGGAACAGCAAGCCTCTCAGGCCTCTTTCCCTGGCTCCCTGGCAGGAGGTTTGTTACTGCCTTGTTACTGCTCTCACAGGGTGACTGTGGGCCTGACGGCACCTGCAGCAAAGCTGCAGACCCAGGGGTCAGACGGAGGCCCTGGACCTTTGGGCTGCGGCAGAGGGAAAGGTGCCTAGGGTTCCTGACAAGAGACAGAGGGTGAGGGGCATCCTGTGTGACTTGAAGTGTTTGCGGGTATGGAATGAGGGGAAGGAGCAGGAGAAGCAGCTGAAGAGCACGGGGCTGGGGGCTGGGGTCAGGGTCTGTCTCCCGAGACAAGCCCAAGGGGCTCCCAGGCTGCCAACCCTGTTCCCATGATAGCCTTTCTGTTGAACATAAATTTTCTGATGTTCCAAACAGGACAAAAGAAACTAGACTTTTGAGAAGTGTTTGGCAAGGCTTTACTTCTACAGCAGGTGTGTGGCGAGGCTAAACAAAGCCAGCCAGCACACTCAAGTAGTCTGCTGGGCTTTTCTTCCCTGGCACTGGGCTGAGCCCCTGGGTGGCAGCATAGCCTCACAGTTTAACCCCTTGGCTAGTTCTCGCGGTGTCTGTCATAGTTGCCAGGCAGGACAGATCCTGTGACTCAGGAACTCTTTTATAACAAAAGAGATTCAAAAATTTATGGCAGATGCACTGGTGTGTAGCCCTTTGTGTTAAGTTGTTTTTTAAGGAATGGTGAAACAAGCACATCTGCAATTTACAAAAATAGAATTTTACAAAACTAGAGATTTGTATATCCCCTTTGACAGAAAAGACTACCTTTTTTACCCTCTCCTTGTCCTCCATCTCTGGACCCCTCTGCAATGTCACACACACAGGTAGGCTCTCCATTCCCAGCAGCAGATGGGGTCCTCTTAGCTCTCCAAGTGGTAGCCGTGGCTTATCTGGAACCCGCATGGTGGCCCTGGGCTCCTGAGAGTGCTGGAGTGTGGCCACCCCATGCTGATGTCCCCAATGTTTAAACTTCAGGGCTTGAGATCCACACTCCAGGTGCACAGTACTCAGCTCTTGCTGGACTCTGGCTCGTAGGCTCTGGGGAGGGAGGCAAGGTTGGGTGGAGCTCAGACCTGTGCAGACACTGAAGCAGGGGGCATGCAGCTCACATGTCAACACGCACAGAACTCTGCACATGCAGCCTGTCAACACACAGACACACGAACATACACACTCACCACTCCCCACACACACCCCCCCCCGCAGGCCTGGGTCTGTGTCCAGAGGGGTTGAACCACTTCCTAGGGTGTCCTCAGTCAGAGGCTCCCTGGACTGAAAAGGAATAGGTTTTTGTTCCTCTTGTGAAGTCTCAGAAGTCCTGGGAGTAGACTAAAGTCCATACTCCCAAGCTGCCCTGCTGGCTGTCCTGGGGACCAGGTAGGGGTTTCAGGACAGGCGGCCGTGTGGGCTTGGCCCAGGTTGGACCTGTTTGTCATAGCTGCTGAGATCCTGGGGAGAAGTTCGGCCCAGGCTCCACACTGCCCCATCATCCCCCCAGGCCTTGTGGGTGCAGGACCTCAGATCAGTATTGGGCCAGGGCTCTAAGGCGACCTCGGCACTGACCCCAGTGCTGCCTGTACCAGGTGCTGGGCCTCCTACCTGCACAAATCTCCAAATTTTGTTGAATGATGGGTGCAGCGCTGGCTGAGGAAGCCCACCACCAGGATGCAGAAGATGATAGCCATTGGGATTCCTACCATGTATCCCAGCCTGGCCTTAGGCACAGCCTGCAGCTTCCTGGAGCCTGGAGGTGAACCTGGAGGACAGGTGGGAGGACAGGTGGGTGGTGGCACTGTCTCTAGCATCCTCATCTCGCCCAATGGTCAGGTTTACAACACTATTGGATGCTTGCCCACCACCCTTCTATGTGGGGATACCCATGAGGGACACTGGGAGGTAGGAGAAGATGCCAGGTGGGTGCCAGATGGCAGAACTCTGGACAGCAGCAGCAGAACCACCAAAGGTGGAAGAATCCGCAGTGGGACCCGTACCTGGCGACAGCAGTGAAACACTGGAGGCAGATGTGGACAGCACTGGACCCGGCTCTGTCGCCTGCTCTTGGGCCTCTGCAGGAGAGATGCCACTGTCAGGTGGGGGCCTAGCCCTGACACACACCCAGCTCCAGACAGGAGTCCAGCTGGGGTTCCTTGGGTCCTCCATGGCCCAGATTGCAGCCCCTGCCCCCTGGGCTCAGGCAAAGGTGATGGACTAAAGGGTGGGAGGGGGCAGGAGAGCCTGAGGGTGGACAAGGCCCCAAGGGCTGTGCAAGGAAGGAGAGTGTGGCGTGGGCGGGGCTTTAGACTGGGAGGGCCCTGGCCCACTCCA